TACCCTTGCTGTGGTGGAGCGGGTGGAGACCCACGTCTATCACTGATCTCTCTTGCAGGAGTAGATCAAAGTGGGGCCTCAGAAGTCTGGGGCACAAGTTCAGTAAAAGGAGGGCAGTAGGCCTCCCAGTCACTCACAATGGCTGTGCAGTCTTCCAGAAATTAGGGTGCCTCCTTGATCACTGCTCTGCTTGCTCAGCATCGAGGTTGCCACAATGCAGAGGAGGGGCTGTCTTACTCCTTGATTTTTGCAGACTGTGGAAAGGCAACAGACTGTGGAGAGTCAGAGACCCAAGTTGGTTCCCTCATTTTTGCAGAATGGCTTTGCCTTTTAACTTCTGAGTAAAGTGACTTTCTCTCTAAAATGAGGGGTTAGATGTCACTTATCTCTAAGGGGCCTTCTAGCATTGATATGTTATGCTGTGAAAGGTCAGCCTTTGGCCAGAGGAAGAGTTAAACAGCCTAGGCTAAGGGATATTTCACTCTCTCTGGATCTCTCAGGCTCAAATGCTCATTCCAGACAATTTGGGAGAGGTGGAAAGAAATGAGGGTTGGCTCCTCCCTCTTGAGACCTCCATTCCCACTCCTTCCCTCTTCCCACTGCCTCAGAACCACTCTAAATTTTCTCCTAGACAGGGAGAAACAAATACCTTTCACTTCCTACCCCAATGGCATCATCAAAGCCAAATTAGAGAAGTGGCAAGGAGCAGAAATAAGTGCAATCTGCAAAGCGCTATTTTGTCAGCAAAACTTGGGAGACTCCTACTGACTACTTCTTAAGGATACTTTCTGGAACTTCAGCCCTATTAGACTTAAGTTTGCCCTTGATGTTGACCTCTCTGCCTCTACTACTCAATAGGCTTCTGGACTCTTTTCAGGTATGCTCATGTTCCAGCTAGCCATAAGCTCTCATTGTGGTGGTTCCAGGCCCTCCCACAAAATTACCCCTCTCTTCTCTCGGTTATTTACCCTAACCCAGCTCCTAAAGCAGAAATTCTCAAAATGTGGGTTCAAAGAACCTGGCTTTAGAATCACTTAAGAGGCTTAATAAAAAGAAAGACTCCTGTGCTTGCTTCAGCAGCACATATACTAAAACTGGACCGATACAGAGAAGATTAGCATAGACCCTGTGCAGGGATGACATGCAAATTCGTGAAGCATTCCATATTTTCTCAATCTGCTGCCCGCCAGAAGGGAGAGGGGTTGGGGAGCTGGGAGAAAGGGGCGAAGGGTTAAAGAAGTACAAATTAGTTGATAGATGGTCATGGGGATGGGGAGCACAGCATAGGGAATGCAGTTAGCATTAATGTAATGGCTAAGTATAGAGTCAGAGGAGAGAAAGAGCAATTGGGGGATTGTTTTATAAACTATATAAATGTCTAACCGATGTACTGTATACTTGAAACTAACAATAAAATAAAATTTAAAAAAAGAACAAACAGCAAAATAAATAAATAAATAAAGACTCCTGAGTCTGACTTATTGGACTGAAACCTCTGGGGGTAGGCTGAGGGACCCACACTTTAAAACAAGCTTCTAAGATGATTTCTACCCACGTGAAGTGGTTTTGAGAGTGAGTTATCTAAGGATATCCTTTAGCCAATATTAGTCATGGTGAAGATGCACCATTCTGTCTATTCTTTATTTCTGTCCAACAAACATTTACTGAATACCTACTGAGTGACAGGCGAAAGATGGAACTTTCAATCACAAAGCTCTCAGGGAAAGGGACAACGCTCTATAAACTGTTTTCCTCAGGGAAGGTCATGTAATCAGACTTCCGACAGGTTAAGAATTTCTGTTTTAGGATCTTTTTCATCCCCACCTCCATCCTAGGCCTGGGATAACTAAAGAAAGGATGCTGCAGAGAACTTTAAATCTTGCTTCAGAAAAAAGACACCTTCACTCCTGCTCTTTTTACCTCAAACAAGCAAGAGCCTTTGTATGCTTTGGGGCTGTAGAGCCAAGAGTTTGCATGGACTCAAGAGTATCCAAGCAGTAACACAGTAGGTTTGTGGAGAGGGGTTGCAAGAGGCTTTTTAGGAACAACCGTAAACACACAGAAGACCAGACTGCCACTCTCCATCAGTTCTGTCTGCAGAAAAGAAGCTTGTTGTTCAAATAGGAGAGAAAGGTAGTCATGAGGAGTGGGCAGGGGGTGGCTGCTTTGGTGGACAGGATGAGAAAGATTTCAAAGCATTCCTACAATCAAATACAACCTGGGAATCAGGCCCCTCTGCTGTTGCCTCCTGCTGGGGACTCACAGCACCAGGGCACAGCAGGGCAAGGGACCCTTGGGAATTCAGGACTTGAACAAGCAATACAATCAGTAAGACATTTCTTCCATGCCCTGTGCACACCGAGGAGACAAACTTTAAAGTTGCTCAAAATATCCTATACTCATATCTTTCTATACACACTTCCTCCAACATCTTCCAATTTCTTCATAGCAAATTATAGATACAGATTCTTCTGGAGTAGATTTATAGTACAGGTAAGACTTGTGCCAGGAATGAATCCATTGTTCTTTTAATTTGTGAATATCTTTTTTTCCCAGCCTAATTCTCCCCTAACAAAATAGTCTAACTTAGTAGGCCCCTGGCAAACATTTGTTGTTGAATCTGAGTCTGAGATGACCAGAATCTTGACTGCTAACCTGGGCAAGTCAAGAACCAGTCTAGGAGTGGAGATGACAACTCTGAGCCTCCAAGCGTAGAATATGGCAAAGACTGGGAGATTAAAGGGAGTAGAGCGAAGGATGAACAGAATGACTGGGAGATTAAAGGGAGTAGAGCGAAGGATGAACAGAATGTAGTCCTCCATATGCAATTATCAGGGAACTGCTATTGGGTCTGAACAAATAGTGAACACCTTACCCACAGCTGTGAAAACCAAACAATAGATTTAAAAAAAAATCTTAAAAAAAATTCTCTTTTAGGATACTTTTTTCCCCTCACCTCAGCAGAAAACCCAATCTCCAAAATTTTGTTTCAGGAAAATAGTGTGGACAGCTCATGAGTACATCAAAGTCAATGCTTAATTGTGACAGGAAGGACCCAACTTTTGCCCCAAATGCTTAGCAGCAAAAACCTAGTCCTTGTTGCAGTAAAGGGTGCCACGGCACTTAGGCTGCCTGTTTTACCTGAAACCTCACAGAAAAGGCTCCCAATTTGATAAGTTTGGGTCAGTCTTGCCAGACAGTCAGGCTGGGTTTTCTGTTCTACATCCTGTGTTGCAGCCAGCCAGGGATCTTCTTCAGAGAGGTTTGCAAAGCCACTTTTCCTTCTCGACCTCCTGGGGCCTCTGGGCCTAGGAGTTGTGATTAGATGAGTACCTTTTGAGAGAGGGTGTTATACTTTTGAGATAGGAATGTGAGAGTTAGGACATTATGTTGGTAAAAACTGGCTATTAAAGTCTGGCCAGGGATAGCTATGGGGGCACCATCAGCTTAGCAGCATCTGACTTGCTGGTACTTTTGCATTAAGAGTGCAGAGGGAGGACAGTGAAAAAATGCACCTACATTTGAAGCTTTAACTAGCTCTGAAGAGCTCTATCATTTTCTGACCAGAATGCAAGAGAAAAGCCTTTACTTTTCTCTTTTCAAATATTATTTAGGATCTTTGTCATCTGATTGATTACAGGAGAAAATTGAAGCAGCAACATTAAGTTTGAAGGACCGTTTTCAGCCTAGGATTCTATTTCTCAATGAAATCCAAGAACTCCAGCAGTGCAGGAACCCCAGATCCCTTTAGCTTTGTGGCAGTTCCTAAATGTCTACCCTCTACCTACCTCCTCCCCATCATGGCTCAGTCCTCCCCACCTTGGCTGAACTTCAGCCTCACCAGCAGTAGTACTTTTGGTGTGGCTTTGTTTATTCACAAGTTCACATCCCTGTACAGAACTGGTTCCCTGGACTGTGATGGCTCCAATTTTCCAGACTTCGTCAGAATGGAATTTTAGGCAAGGGCTCAATGGTTCTTTCATGACAAGTAGATCAGTAAAACAATAATAAAACCTCGGACACCCTAACTCAGATGCTGTAATTGATCAAGTACTCAAGGGCACTTGAAAAGCCAAGAGTAGACTCTTTACTCACAGAGTTTTAGGAAACCACTCTCTTTCATTACTGCTGTGTGTAAATAACATTGATATGTTTAATTTGTTATTTTCCTATAGCCCCAAAGAGGGACACATTAAAAGAAATGTTCAAGGAAGTTAGAAAGCTTGTCAGTGAAAAGCTTGTCTCTGTACCCCTTCTATTCCTCATTTCCTGTGCTAACTGCACTTTTATTTCCCGTCTCTCTACACTCAGTAAACAAAACCATATTATCAAGGGAAAGACGTGAGCCCATTAACATTGTGAGCCCTCAAATTTCACTTGCAAGAGACGACGCAGCACTTATCTGATGGAACAGTACCTTTAATTGCTTCGAGGTACAAGCCTGTCCAAACCTCTGAGATCTGACCCATCCCTGGGAAGCCTTTTGCTCACTCGAGCCAAGCGCCCAGGAGAAAGCGTGCCCAGCACTGGTCCGGGTGCCAGCCTCCCAAACAGGAGCACAAAGAGCCACTCCATCACAAAGGAAGATTCTTTATTTTGACAACATAATCAGAGGGAGAAATCAGCTAAACTTCCGAACAAGGCAGACATTTCACTTCATCTTTCCAAATCAAAACCTGGCACTTCAACACGCGCACTTCTGCCACCACAAATGGAAGGAGTGGAAGAAGCTGAAGGAAACGTTGAGAAATAACGTTATGCTGTACGTGCTAGGTACCTGGGGAGTGAAAAATCTTTGCCGCTCCCCAGGTACCTAGCACCTACAGCATAAAATTTGGTCCCGTAAATCGGAGAGAGAGTGAAATATTAAACCTCTACTTCAGGTTTAGGAGAGAAATAACACCAGTGCCAAGAAAACCAAAAGCGCATAGACTTCAGATCTAAAAGGAAGAGGAATAACTACTTTCCCTGGAGAAAGGTTAGTAGCAGTCCCCACCGCTCCAGCTCCCTTTTAACCCCTACCACACCGCGACGTCTGCAATCCGCATCTGAGGACTGGTCACCTACGATCCAGAACAAGCTCTCGCTCTCCATCCTCTCGCCCTCACCCGAGCGGCCAGTCCTGACTTTCTCCCCACGTCTCGCCCAATACCTGTCCGGAGAGCAGTCGTCCCAGGCTCTCGCCCCGCGCTCTCATCCCGCCCCTCCCTAGGTTGCCCTTGGGCGGTGCTGACTCTCCCCGGGGTAGGGGGTCTGTGGGCGGCGGCCTCTCGCAGGTTCCGCGAAGTTGGTGGCGCCGCAGGCGTGCCGAGCCCCGTGCGGAGAAGGCGCCCATTGGCCGGCCGGCGCCACGTGGCCAGCGCCGCCACTATATTAGGCCACTATTTACTTTGCGCTCGCTCGCCATGGCTCGGCGAGGGCAGCTCGGGTAGAGGGGAAAGGCCGAGCGGCGCAGAGCGTGGCGGTCCTGCTACCCCTGCAGCCCAGCCCAGGCCTCCGCGCGCAGGTGGGTGGGCCGGAACCATGAGCTCCTACCTGGAGTACATGTCGTGCGGGGGCGGCGGCGACCTGCTCAGCTTCGCGTCCAAGTTCCGCCGCACAGATGCGCGGCCAGTGGCCCTGCAGCCTGCCT